AATTGTCATTCCGGCTGCGCGCCCCGCGCAGGGCCGGCCGGGTCCAGCTCCCGGCGCCGGGCCGAGCCCTTCCCTCGGGGGACATGCCAGGAGTCGCGTAATTAATTCAGAAGCCACACGAAAATGCCAAGATCCACCCTGGCAACGGCACGTGTGTCTGTAAAATGATTTTTAAGAGGAACACTCCCCAAACAGTATTAATTCGTCCAAACTCCATGACCACTTCAAAAAATAAATCTTAATCAAGGCCTGTATTCCTAGCTGCACCGAAACGCCACCCGTTACAGGACTGGAAATCCCACAAATAGAGGAACAGCCCCAGAGAAGGTGCTGGGCACTTGCACTTGGACTTAGCAGAGTGCTGCTACTGAACACTCTGCTCTCCTAATGTTTTAGCTGACTCTACCTCTGCTTTTATTCAGTTGATGCAGAGAAATGATTACTTGTTTTGAGACTTACTTATAGCAAACTGCTTAGCAACTTACTTATAGCAACTTATAGTATAACTTACAGTATTTTTTAATATTGCTAAGAATCCTGCTTGCCCAGACTGTTCTGTGGAATTTTACCAAGGACTACTGTGTTCATCAAAACAAAGCAGTTCACTGTGAAAATCTACCAAGAACTGCAGTGTTCAACAAAATATCATGCTTTTGTCCTTGGGGAACAGGTGTGCTCTAACTAGTTGGGTCTTGGTAATGAGTAAAGATAGCCATATATGGATAGTGGAAGTTCCATTGGTTTTCTTAGATAAGATAGAATGAATAAACCAGCTGAAAACCACTCTTGTTATTCAAGAATTTGGCGAAGAGAATCTTCACATGCTCCAGGGAAAAGTACAAGGTGAGAAAGACTAGAGCCTTCCTCCCAAAGCCCCCTGAAGACGCCCACCAGGAGGCAATGCGCAGGTGCAAAGAGAACATAAACTGCTGATACCGGCCTTTCGAACTAGCCCAGCCTTACTCATGCATATGTATTTGTGTTATGAAATCCAGTGAATATGGATATCCCACTCTATAAATTTTTGGTAAAATGTGCGGTGGGTGTGCAAGCTTTTTGGAGAAATCCCCTTGCACACCGGTGCCAGAGTAAACATACCTGCTTTATAACTCTATTCGAGTTGTAGAGTCCTTTTTCCACGAATCACAGTCTTAAAACACATAATTGGATCCGGTTTTTAAGTTGCGTCCAGACTTTTTATTTTAAAAAACAAACAAACAAACAGACTTATTGAAATTATTCCAGTAATCAACCAATAAATCACCTTGTCAGAAATCTACTTTGCCCCCATAAACTTCATTCCTGTTACATCAGTGCTGTTATGGGCAATTTTAAATTCTCCTGAATAGGAGAAGATCCCTCATGATTCAGTTAAAATCTGTGATGACCTTTGGTGTGTCATTTCTCCAACACAATCCTGCCTGGCACCTCACACAATCATTTGCCACAGGTACGAGTGCTCTTACACAGGGAAGTTCAGACTCACTTCTGCAGTAGGACTGCAGAAAGTCTTTGGTCTAGGTTGAGTTCACATTTGTACTGAATAAAGCTCAGTACAAATCTTAGCACATCCATGTTTTTACAAGTTGTGAGGTCCTAGAGTTTTTTGGGAACAAGCTCCATTGAAGCACACAAGCCAATGCTTGTTATCCCTGCCAAAAACTTGGTCGCTAGCCAGACCCTCTTCTGGTATCAATATTATCAGATATCTAAGCGAGCCAAGTTGCAACTCTGTGCAACCAAGCTATGGCTCTATGCAATTACATGCAACAGGACTAGAAAATTTGGAGAGTTAAAAACAATCCTTAGTTTGCTGATGGTACAAAGACACCTTTATGGTGTGGCTCTGCTACATGCTCCAGTGACGCTGCTGCAATTGCAACAGCAACAATTAATTATAAAGCAAGTCAAGTAGTCTGGGTAAATTTTGCACACAGCAGTTCAAACAAATCTTGAGTCCTTCCTGATGAAGGGGAGGAACATGTGATTAATAGGTTGTGTGGATCAATAGGGCACTATACTAGCTACTATGCAGATGGGAAGGAGTCTTTTGTGCTGTTTATTTCATTTTGTCCTAATAGATATGGCAGCTCTTTTTAAAGATCTGACTGGAAATTACTGCCCAATGTAATTGTCATTCCGGTGTACTACTCTTTCGCCTTCAAAGTGAAGGTGAATAATATTTCGACTTCAGTTGAATATTATTCAGGTGAATATTATTTTGCTGCTGAAGACTGGGGGAAAAAAATCCCTTCTTCTTACCAGGCTTTATAATTTTAGGTTCTTCCTGAAGTTATATTTGGGTCTTGGCACTGAGAACCAGAAAGTAATGAGAGAATTCAGAGTCAGCAGATCAGCTGCAAACAGGACTGGCTTGAAGAGGAAGGTGATATAAATCAAGTTGTGCTTTTAAAGGCAATAGGATTTCTTCTTGTATGAGAAGTAAAGGATTAAGCACTTCCAGTACAAACCGGAGTATGTCTAAATTCATCAAAAGCATGCTTATAAATCGAGACACCGAATCATTTGTAAGTATCTGAATGGTTTAAATATTGAAGCAATTTCTTCAGATTTATGGGAACAGAAAGTTGAAAAAAGACTCAGGAAAAATGAGTCGTTTTCAAATACCCAATGATTATATGAAATCATTACAAATTTTCAGCTTTCACTGTAATTTAACAATATGAAGCAGGTTGTGGTTGAACCAGCAGGGAGATGCTGATAAGTATTTAAAAATTCTCTTTCTGGTGATCTAAACTCCATATCGTAAAGCACTACTCTGCTGGCTTGGACAGAGAGAGATGTTTTAAAATTGCAGGTTTCAGTCTCCTGGTTACCCATGCATAAGAACTGCTTGGAGCAGTGCTGCTTCGGATGGTAGGCTCTTGAACCAGATTTAAAGGAATAGGAAATCATCTGTATCCTAAATTTGAATGTACACCTTTTCTGAGAATTGAGCACCCACTGAGGAGTGTGTTGGACTATTCTTTGCTCCAATTATGTGATTTAGGATTCTCTGGAACTAAGAAAAAGCCTCTTTTCATATAGTTTTTTGACACTGCTAAACTCATACATACCATGTACCTCTATATACATACAGCACAAGTATTAATGAAGCATCTTGGTTCAGAAAATTTAATATGCTTTGAGTGGATTTGCTTCCTCTAATGGCTCATTACCTGGACTAGTAAATTAAAAGAGACACAGTAAAAGATTCAAGCAACATCTTTTTTCCCTTTGTCATATATGTATTAAAAGGAATAAAAACATGAATATGAAGGCAGTTTTGTTTTCTGGTACCAAGCCACTCTTGAATCACCTGAATGCATAATACTGTTTCTGTAGACAGTTTCCAAGATAAGCATGGAAAGTAAGAGGTCTTATGACAAGAATTTAACCTGTGGAAACTACTTCTTTAAAAGCTGCCATTTTGAAATATATTTCATCGATGCTTTTATCTTACATTTGTTAGAAAGCGATATTACTGAATTTTGTTTCCCTCGCATTGGTATGGATTAGTCTGTCTCATTTTTGTTTGACTGTGTTAGAAGTCAAAACTAAGAGGCCACACTCGCTGAAGCCACATGAATATGGACAAAGAGGAACAGAAAGGTCAGGAAGTCTGTTTTGCCTTTTTCAGAAAATAACGGTCCCCCGAAACCCACTTAAGTATTTTCTAAATTGTTTTTAATTTTTGAAAAATCAAATAGTACTGATTTATAGGACTGAGCAGAATACAGCGTGACAAGGCGTCCTGTGTGGTAACATTCTCAGCTTCCTCTTGGGCTCCTTGCATTTGTCAGGTCAGGGGAGCGAGCGCAGGGGCTTGCCAGGGGAAGCTGCCCACTGAAATGATTCCTGCGTAGAGCCTCTGGCCATCACCCTCTGCAGAATGGGGAAACAGACAAAGCCCAGCTACTACAGGGATATTTCCTGTAGCATTGCAATTTCAGGAAGGATGTTTGGATGTGACACATTGGGAGTAGACATTTGGATTGTAGGGGTAGGAAAAGATTTTAACCCAGGTCTGTGTAACAGTAGAGGTGAGTGCAATAGGTGACTGATCAGTTGTGTGTTAATTTAGTGGAGCTGATCACTATGACTGTTTTAGGATGTTCTGAACCATGGGGGCACCGAGACCAGGGTCAGATTCTGCTGTTGTTTGGGGAAATAGGAGTCTGTGTTATCTGGCAAATAGTTGCTTCATGTGTAACTGAGGGCAGTATTTTCCTGTTAATTTTTCAGTCATTTTGTCCATTGGATTAATTCATACTCACTAATAAAAGTTTTTCTCCTGAATTGTTGAAAGTAAAAGAAAAAAGTTATCAGAGCCAAAAAACCTCAACCAAAGCACTGGAAAGTTTTATTCATTTCATTCATTTGCAAATGCAGAAACTCTCTTTATTTTGCTAAGAATTTTTAGTACCTGAAACTATTTGTCTTTTTCAAAAAATAGATACATATTAGCACCACTATCTCATCTCCTTTTTGTCTGTGACATTTTTAGCTACTGTCCTCTCTCTGAAATCCCTTTTAAAACTCCTTTGTATCTTAAGTTAGACTCTTTAGCGATTCATGGGAAGGGAGAAAAAAATGAAATACTGTATTTTGTTTTTTCTGGGCCCTTTATTCATGGAGCTTAGCATGTCCTGAAAGCTAAGCAATCTCATTAAGGTTTATTCAGTGGGAGCTGCAGTGGCTTCACCAGTTTGCAGGCTCAGCCCCCTAAGTGGTACATGAATGAACTAGTGACAGAACTACAGCAAAACATTAAGAATCAGAATAAAAGGTTAAATCTCATTTCCTTCCTGCACAAGTTGTAATACTTGAGTGTATTTTTTTAGAGAAAATCATGTCAAATTTGTTATATGGATTTGTTTCATCCAAGATGAGTATTAAGAAGCCATTAGACTTTTTTATGTAAACTGGTGGTTTAAACTATAT